GGCCAAAAAGTTGGCCCTCATGAAAAAGGAGATGGGAAGATTCGGAAGAAGCGTCCAGCATTGATTCCCTGCGTTCTGGCATCAATGCACTCGGTTTCTTTCAATTTCAACAAGGTAGAAAGTTACGGAAGCGCCCCCATTTTGCTTGGACACGTGGTTAGTGATTATTGGTAAATGAGAGTGGGATTGCGTGTAATTTTTTTTATAAGGCAATTATTAGTAGGTTAGTATTGTTAAATGTTAACAACTGAAAATTCGATCTCAATATTTGATGAACAGTCACCGAACTCAATAATCCCCGACCTCAATAAGACACTAAGACACGTGACCATCAAGCCACTTGGTGAAGTTTGGGATTACGTGTAATTGAAAATAGAGCAATACTAAGGGCACTCGCCTCCTGCACTCTCCGGCCAACACTTTCTCTTTTATTGGGCCACGTTATTTTGGTTTCCGAGAGGTTACGCTGAAAGCTTTAAAGAAGTTTACGTGGTCCAATGAAGGGGGAAGTGTTGGTCGGAGAGTGCAAAAAGCGAGTGTGCCTAGAACTGCTCTTGGAAACATATGGAGAGCATTCGAAAGGTGGCGAAGAAGCATTAACCTTGTTCGAACTTCAAAGGTTCGCAAATGTTGATAATTCAGATATAGCCAGATCAAAATTTATTTAAAAAATTTATCACCCAGCACAATTTAAATTAATAAACATGAATAATTTTTTTTAATATAAAATTTTTTATTTATTTAATAACTTTTATTTTATAACAAAAAATAAAATAAAACATCTTGATATTAAAATTACGAGATATCTTGTCACAATCAACATTTAAATAGAATTTAAATGAGATCTCATTTAAATATTGGTTATACCTCATTTAAATGATAATTGTAATTAAATGTCCTGATAATTTTAAGAGTGGTGTTACAGTGACAATTTTTTCATACTACTTTTTTATACACCTTTCACATATTATTAAATGAGTGGATACATTTAATATCATAAATCTCACATGAATTAAAAGAACAAATCATTTTAATAACACGTCAAATTGTACGAAAAAAAAAAGATATAAAGATTGTTCAAAAATCATTTCCCTAATTTTAGTATCAAGACATGTTAATTTTCTACATACTCATTTAAATATACCAGATTATATAGTAAATTTCTTAACTTATATGTATATATATATAAATATATTTAAGGATAAGAATGTAATTCTAAAGTTGGAATGATAAAGCTGCCTCTTGGATTTGAGAAATCTTGTTGGAAAGTTACTAGTAAGATTTAGTAAGTTTTGTTCAAAATATCGAACGGTAAGAACTTAAGGTGTTATTTATAGGAAAATTTAGGTCTCAATTGGAAAAAGTTGAGAGAAAGTTGTATCTTTATACCAATTTTTGGTTTTAAAAGTTGTGATGATTGGAGGCAAAATTGAGTTTGACTAAGAAAATCAAAATTAAGAAGAAAGTGTCAATTTGTTTATGTAATTTTTATTATTTATTTGTTACATAGTAGTATTTTTATTTTTTTACATTAAATAATATATTATATAATAAAAAATATCTCCCATCTTTCCTTAATTTTTTTTCTTAATTTTTGTAACAATATGAAGTAGCTTTCAACTTTTCTTAATTCCTTCCTACTTAACTCAAACTTTAAAATTAAAATTTTTAATTCAAAATTTAAAATTCTTAACAACTTAAGATAACTCATTGAAGGCAATATTATTGTTATAGTAGCATGAAGGGGAATAAATATTACTAAAATACTGTTAAATTTTCCCAAATAAATATGGCAAATATTTTTAAACCAAACAAAGTGCCGTCTTTTTATTTTATGTTCCGATTTTGTTGTTCAATTATAGTAGTAAATGATTTACACAAGTTAATGACCTAAGTTAATAATAATCTTTTTCAATAAAAGTAAGATATTTTAAATTTAAATCATATAATATGTAAGTAAAATAAATTAAAAAATTAAAAAAATTTATCTCTTATTGTACAACTTCAAATAAAAAAATAATTTACACAAAATTCATTGCAAAATATTGTGAATTTATATACTCATTTATATAACTTTTATTTTTAAACCAAACACAGTACTATCTTTTTATTTAACGATTTACAGGTAAGTAACATTAAATGATTTTATACTCATTCATTTTCATTTTATCTATTTCAAAATAATTATCATTTTTTTAAATTAAAGATTTAAAGAAAATAATTATATTTATTTATAATATTTCTAAAAAAAAGATAAAGAGAGATTTTTTTTGTTATTCGATAATTAATTAAAATTAATGGATAATAATAAGTTTAAACTAAAAAAAATATTTATTTATTTGAAAAAACGACAATTAATTTAGGACAAATTTAAAATTTAAAAATAGTGATGATTTTAAAATAGGAAAAGTAGTAATTTTATCCAAAAAATAATAACTATTTAATGTTACTTAAAGATATTAAAATATTATAATTTTTGTAAAATTATATAAAAATATAAATGTTAGCTTTACTTTAATTAATTTATCAATTTAAATTGTTTGTATAGCAATAATATAAAAAAAGTAAAATTTTTAAAATTTTTATATAAATTAATTAAAAAATATATATACTTATCATACTTAACCTATACCTTTACAAATCCAAAACTTAAATTTAGTTTAGAAACATTTTTCGATACTTTAACTTTTAATTTTTAAGTATTTTTTCATTATTTTAAAAATAAATAAAATACTAATTTAAATAAATATAAACTATATAAAGATATATTAAATAATCAAAATTTCTACAACGACAATTACATGCCACTAATATCAAATTAAGCCTTAATTATTCAAATATTCACATCTTAACTAGCCGAATCAACTAATCATGATTTAAAGGGCTGGAGAGGAATCCCAAAATAGAGGTGGGCTCAACTCTGGTTACAGTTTAATGTGTATTTAAGCTAATTAAATGTAAACCAGAATAGGTTCTGACTTTGGCCAATGACTAAAGGAAAAACTAGTTAGTTGAGGGGAAGTAATAAGTGAAATTTAATGTGCAATTAGGAACATGTCTGGATGACGATGACAAGGCCAGGGCCCCCAAACCAGAATAACTTAATAAGCACTCTATATATATATATATATATATATATATATATTTAATGGATGAAGAAGGGAAATGCATAGGTTCAAACGTCCTTCAATAGATGAGGAGGCTTATCTTAATCACAACTTCAAGAATAATTCTAGGTGCATAGATTATATATTTTGAAGAAAATTTTGAAATTTTAATTTTAAAATTACGTAATTTTAATATACATTTTTCAAACTCATTTTAAATTAGATTTATCTAATTTATAGCTTAAGAGTATAAGTTAAAAAAATATTATTTGTATCTTTTATAATTATTTTTATTGAAAAATAAAAATTAACTTTAAATCTATCAACTATTAAATTAAAATCATTTAAGTAATATTAATGTTAAAAATAATATTTTACTTTTATATTTTCTATTAAAATCTATTACAAAATAATATAATTAACATACTTTAATATGTGCCCTAAAGATTAAGAGCATAGCTTAAATAAATCCTTTCGAATTTTTTAGGCTTTGGGAGGAAGCAAAATGGTATTGGAATAAAGTAGTTTTGGTATTTCGGATTAGGACTGTCACAACTTGCAAACATTTTTCTCTATATATCCTCATTTTATAAATACTAACAACAATTTATTTTTTTAAGAAAAGATGTTTATCCTTTTTTTTTTTTTTTAGAATTAATTCTCGCTTCGGCCCAGACCAGATTACACTAGCCTTTTCTTGAATCTCGACCAAATAAGCCCATTGTTTTCAACTGTATCGGCGGCACAATTAGGTAATTTAGGGCCGGCCTACATGCCATTCAAAACCTATTCAGGCTCGAACAATAGCCCATTTATGGAAATTGGACCTGCATAATTACAAAACCCAATGAAGTGATCCTTTGTTTTTTAGGCCGACGAATCAGAGTATTATCGATTCTGCCCAAAATAAGAGTATCAGATAATTGCCCATTATGTTTTTGCTTTTGTTTTTGTTTTTGTTTTTTGTTTTTTAATATATATATATATATATACCTTTAAAATTGACCCTGTTTTTAGTTGCTATCCATTTGGTGGAAAATATTCATAGATAATATTTTTTTACAACTTACAATTAAATTTTCCCATTCTAAACGAAGTACAATAATTATGATACAGTCGTGAATTGATACAATGGTGAATTAACTTGCATCTATCGTGAAACCAAAGATAAGAATGAAAGAAAAACCTAGCATCTATTGATATAATGTTGTGTGACTGTTATAAGATTCTATATTTTATAAAAAAATATTATGAGTAAATTAAATTAGTTTGTGTTATTTAATATATAAAAGATATTTTTTAATTTGTGCCCTTTGAGTATAATTATTGTATATTTTTTTATGTTAATTGGTTAATTAGTATTAAAAAAATAAAAATTAACATTTATTTTTAATTGTTCTATTAAAATGATCCACATAGTATTAAAAGGTAAAATTCCCAAATTCACCCCTCAAATAAGGACAATATCTGTTCCTAAAAAAAATACATGAACAAATTATACATTCAAATTATAAATCGAGATAAATCGCTCATTTTTTAACGTATGATGTCAGAATTTTGTTGACCACATAAGCATTTTTTAATAAAAAGTTGACATTACATGTTAAAAAATGAGTGATTTGTCTCAATTTATAATTTAGAGAGACAATTTGTTCCTGAATTTTTTTGAAAAGTGAATTTGTCCCAACTTTTTTATTTGAGGGGTGAATTTAAGGGTTTTGTTTTATTAAAATTACACCATTAACATGGGCACATGTTACAAAATCCTATTGGAAAATCTAGAAAAGCTATTAATTAAAACTATCTTAGAACTTGCCTTATTACTATTATTGCTACTTAGACTTTTGTTTATTAATGCAAAATTTGTAGTCATTAGCTGCTTTTAAGATAACAAGATGACTTTATTAATTAGTTTCTAATATCTTAAGGTTCAAATAATCTTCCATCAAGAAACGTATTATTCTAGTTGGTGGTTTCGGTTAGATAGAAGATTTTCACCTAATCTCTCTTACCCATCAATATGGGCGTGGTCTCTGACAATATATGTGGGAGGCTTGAAGTAGCTTTAAAGGAACTCAAAGCAAATGATATGGCAGCTTTAATTCCTCTTATATATCCTTTTCAAAAATGATATTTAGTTTGCATGCTCTGCAATGCTTGGATACCAAGCATATCCAATCTTTTTCTGACTTTGAAAATGGAGTTGTTGGGGGGTGTTAGGACCATCGATCATATACAGATTAACAGCATTAATTAATATCAAATGCGATTGCATCGGTTGCCTGAAACAAACCACCATGCAAATGTAATATTTGTTGTTGAATGCTTGTCTGAGTTGATGGTTTTCGTCCGGATTTGCGTTGCCGTCATGTATTGCATTCTCTATCTTATTGAAAGCTCTAACTACTATTTAACTATTAATTTTATATATTTTATGTAGGTACCATATATCTTGTCTTGTCATGGTTTGGGGAAACAATAACTCAATTGTTTTAATTTAGTGAGATTTGAAATCTGCATATGCGTACATATAGTCTTTTTGTCCTCATGGTTTAAACATAATATTCAAATGGCCAATGCTTTCTTTCTTTGTCAACTAATCATTATATATTGGTACATTTTTTTTGTCTAACATACCTAATAATACTTATTGATTCAGTCATTAAAAATTTAATATTTTCAAATTTGAATTTAAGGTGAAAAAATTTTTAAAGGTAAATTTTAATAATTAAATCGGTAAGTATTGTTAAGTATATTAAATTGGAGGATGTACCAATCATTTTTCTATATATATATGAAAATAAGTAAAAACTAAGACATAGTGACATTATAAAATTATTTAAATATTTTTAGAAAATTTTATTTTTTTTTTAATTTATTAAGAATATTTAAATTTTTTTATTATTATTCTTAACATTTAAATTACTAGGACGATTTAATTTCCAACTATCTATCTATATATACATATACATTGCTCATTAGATTCTAACATTTGGTCTTATTGGAATCCATCCTGCCAAAATAATAAACAATCATTGACAATTGTTTTATTTGAATACATATAGTTTGTTAAAGGACAGACATATATATGCTTACTTATGCAGACATTTGAAAATCCTAAACAGATGGAGTGTAAGAAAACTCAAGCTGAATTGTACAGTAAATTAACACACATGTGGGACCATGATAGAGGTAGTAGCCGTAGGATAATCAACATTATCAAAAGGTGGCAGATTAATGTCAAGTAGTTGTATTTGCATGGAAATGCATGGTAGGTTGATCACGTGTTAGTGTGTGTTACCCCTCTGGTACAGGTTACCCCCATTCTACTCCTTTTGGTTATAGTAGGAAATTTGGAATATTTATTGTTTCTTTCGCCCAAAACAGAAGATATGGTAAGAATAATTAAGGACAAGCAAATATAGATAAAAGGAACTTTAAGCAATTAATTTAGAAAGCATTATCTTTGTTAAATTAGAGAGATGGTACCAACATGGTTGGTTCAAATGGAAGAAACATGATTTTTTAAAATATTATTTTGAGTTTAAATTTTGTGAATGGAGAAACAACATTGAAAAAGTTTTTTTGCTTATGATGACTAACATAACTTAACTCTAAATTAATTGAAATTTAATGTGACTTTTGAATGAAATAAATTTAGTTAAAAAAAAAAAGAATGAAATAAATTTAGTTAAAAAAAAAAAAGAGATAATTTAGTTCATGGGATACTAGCCACTACCCCCTCTGTCCTAAAAAAATCCAACTTATGTGTTTACCTGATTAGACTTTTTGTGGTAGGATAAATAATTAAACTTTTATAACAGGATAAATAATTAAAATGATTCAATAATGATATGGTTAAATTGGAAAAAAAAATTCTCTACTTTTAAAAAGAAAATGATTGGGACATCAATTGATTGAACACATTGACACCTATTTAGTTCAATTATTAAAATAAAATATAAAGGTAGTCAATTTCTATATATTGTATATATAATTATATCCTTATATTTGTTTGGATTTAGTTTCAAACTAATAATTTTTTGACATTAATACATATATTTTACGAAATTACATATCTTATTACATACTAATGAAAATCTTAACATATAATGGAAATAATTAATTTTAACAATATAAATAACAAAAATCATCAATTTTAATAGTACAAGTAATTACAACTATTAATTTTAACATTATAATTAATAGAAATCATCCATATATAATAGAGTGTATAATTTAGAAGGTATATCTATCATTTCCTATAATTTTTAGTTATTTTAGAAGGAAGGAGTAACAAAGTACTCAAATGGGACCAGCATATATGGTCCTTAATTATCTTTGTTTTTTCTCCAATGGAAGAGGAAAAACCCACAAAAACTGAGATTGGGGACAGCAAAGTAACCCTTCCCATGTGCCCATGTGACCTAACGTTGTAATCTTCCCTCGGCAACTATCCCACAACACAATGGCAGATAATCCAAACTTCAACCATGTTCAAGCCAAAGGTACCATACTTAATTTAATTACTTGTCCATCTCCGTGCAATGAAATTAAGCCTCCATCAGCCTTTACAAGACATGGTGCCCCTAGAAGACCATCCGGACGAAATTCACACGCTCACTTTCAAGTTTCAAGCAGTGTCTGTCTAGGACAAGTGGTGGTTGTAGGAGTGTAGTAGGAGTTGGACACTACAATAGTATCCTGTTTGTCAACTAGCTTTCTTTAACTTCTGTATCCTGTCACGAGCCGACCGCTTGACCTTTTCACAGACACAGCCAAGTGTACACAAAGCAACCAAATTTAATACCCAGATGTCCCCATCCCTCCTCACCATTTCCAGAACCTCCACCCCAAAGCAACCCCATTTCTTCAACTTGTTTCATAATTTTCTCCATCCCTTCATCACCAAACTAACGCAATTCACCTTTTTTTTATAAAATAATTTTTTAATCTAATATTAATACCCCTCTGGCATTATTATCATAATTTGTATTCCACTTGGCTTTCTCTCTCTCTGTTTTCCTGATCTTTATGGTTTTCTGGGTTGGTTAAAAATAAAAAAAGAAAAGAAAAGGGGAGTGAAAACGATGAGCGGGCTTTTCCGATCCAAATCTTGCGGGCATGTTGGACTTACAGATGGTCCGTTCTTTCACCGGAGATATAGCAGCGACGTGGAAGACAATGGAGGGGAAGAAGAAGAAGAATTTAACGAGGAAGATGATGAGGACGATATTGAGGGCAGTGAAATTACGAAAAAACAGATTCCGACGCCGTTTATAAGCCCGGAGTCGAGCTTTGGGGGTGAGGGGCGAAATGGTAATTCCACGTCGAAGTCTAATCATTTTACAATTCTGGATATTTTGGTGGGGGCGTTGCGGAAGTCGCTGGTCACGTGCGGCGTCGAGACTGACGATGTGTCGCCGATGGACATCAGCTGGCCGACGGAAGTCAGGCACGTCTCCCACGTCACCTTCGACCGGTTTAATGGGTTCCTCGGCTTACCCACCGAGTTCGAGCCGGAGGTTCCCCGGAAGGCACTCAGCGCCAGGTCTTCTTTTTCAATTCCCATGACTCCTTTTTGGGGTTTATTTTAATTTAACATTTTGTTTGCTAATTAATGTGATTAATGCTTCTCTTAGTTATTTATGGGTAGGATTGTTAACCAGATAAAATTATCTTAATTTTGTTTATTGATTGATTTTGCCTGCAAATTTGCCTATTTGAACTTGAAAGAACTGTGGTAGGATTTAGATTTTAAAATTTAATTAAATTTAAAGAGCTAATTAATCTTCAGAATTGATTAGGGTATTGATAAGAACTTTCTTGCTTTCCATACTTCTTGATGATGCATCAGACGGTGGATGGAAATACATACAGTGCCGCGGCCGGGGTTAATTAATCCTTCCATTTTTATTGATACATTGAGTAGTAAAAGGAATGTTCATTAGTGTTTAAATTTAATTCCTGGATGCCCTTTAATCCAATCTTACCTGTACATAGAAGAAAGGGACCGACCAACCACCTGAAAATGTTAGAAGAGGAAGTTATCACGCATTGTCTAAATGCTTCCTATCTGTGTGTTCTTTTTTACAGGCTAGCGGTCTTAGGATGTCTCTTTAATCTGTAAGAAATTTAATGAAAATGTCTCTGTTGGTCTCATTCCAAGGTGGTTGATAAATGGCCCCTGAGTGGTATTATTGCCCTGTCTTCCTGGGCATGCATTAATCATGTCTTGCAAGCTCCACCTTAGCTCAAAAAATAATTTGTCGGAGTGGCTGTTAGATAACATGGGCATGGGAACTACTTGAGTTTTTTGTATCCAATTGGTTGGCCAATTTGGTTCTACAATAAAACCTTGGTTCCTGCTCTGGGTCAAGGTCATGGGTCCAAACTCCTGCAATAGCAAAGATGAACTTTCTTGTGTGCCCAAAAGACTAATAAGTTCTTTCATAGTACAGGTTGGTCGGGTTCTAGTGCTAGCAGACATTATATACCATCTATGCTGAATTTAGGATTGATCTGTTGGGTGTGTAATTTTGCCATTGTAATATCATATTTGCATAACCAATGGTTGGAAGGGTCTAGCAGGAGAATATATATCATCCATGTTATCTACAACCCATGTTTTGGATTGATGTGTGCCTTGTGTAATTCTTTGCTATCCTATTGAACTTATAGGATGAACCCCTTTTGTTGTCCAGTGCTAGTGTATTTGGAGTTTCTGCTGAGTCCATGCAGTGTTCCTATGATGAAAGAGGAAACAGTGTGCCAATAATTCTGCTTATGATGCAAAAACGTTTATATTCATCAGGAGGCCTTAAGGTGTGTTTTACTCTGCACCTTCAATTAGTGGCTATAAATTAAGTTATCCTACCAAGCTCCTGATTGATCATATTTGATTGCGACAATTGAAGGCAGAAGGAATATTTCGAATAAATGCTGAGAATGGTCAAGATGAGCGTGTCAGAGACCAGCTAAATAAAGGCATAGTGCCACATGGAATTGATGTCCATTGTTTGGCAGGCTTGATAAAGGTACCCATTTGAGTTGTGATATTCTGTACATTTCATATGAAATCCCAGAATGTGGTGTTTATTTTACCTGCCCTGTTGCTCTTTGCTCCACTCTTCCTCAAATTTACCTCATGATCTACTTATTTCTTAATTTAGAGTCACACACGTCATTTATTTCTTTATTGATGGGTGCATTTTTTTAAAAATGCATTTTAGGCATGGCTTAGAGAACTTCCAACTGGAGTACTTGATTCCCTCTCGCCAGAACAGGTGGTGCATTGCAATTCTGAGGAAAACTGCACTCAACTTGTAAAGTTACTTCCTCGGACAGAATCAGATCTGCTTGACTGGGCTATCAATTTGATGGCAGACGTCGTGGAGCATGAACAATACAACAAGATGAATGCACGCAACCTTGCAATGGTTTTTGCACCAAATATGACCCAGGTCTTATGCAACTTCTAGTTTGCACTTCTTTTTCATCAAATCTGATGCATGTCATGTCTGCCTTATAGGTTAAGGTCCCTTTTAGCCATTCAGCCACAAATCTGATAACAAGTTGTTAGTCTCAATGCAAAGCCTAAACTTATTGTTATTGATGCAGATGGCTGATCCTTTGACTGCATTGATTCATGCTGTGCAAGTAATGAACTTCCTCAAAACACTCATCTTAAAGACACTTCGTGAGAGGGAGGAATCAGCTATCAAGTCAGGGTTCCTCTCATCAAGCTCAGATTCTTTTGCCAAGAGTAACTCCAATCTTTCTACCTTAATAAACTTAGAGAATTCCCGCAAGCAAGCTCCGGATGCTCATGATCTGGAAGTACCAGCCACTCTAAGTAGGCTGGAATCTGGTCCCGAGGAAAAACTTTGGACCTTTCAGAAAAGTGATGGAGAAGAGGAATTTGAGTCCGTTATTTCAGATGGCACACCAGAAGTATCCCAAACAGTGACCTCAGAAAATGGATGTAAGGGTGGAAATGAAAAATTGGACCGGCTAGGTTTGAGGAAAGGAGTAAGCAAATTATGCAGGCACCCTGTATTTCAGTTGAGTAAGGTAGCTAAAAAAACACGAAATCTTGGGATTGTAAATACTAGGGGAAGTGGGGAGGCTTGTACATGATTTTGTTATCATCATCCGGTAATGTTAATATGTTGTCTCGTTTATAGCTGCTTGTTACTGATATTAATGTTTGCCAAGTATGTAATAGGTAAAAGTTAGAAGTTCTTGAGTAGGATATTTGCACCAGTGAAAGAACTAACTGATGCTCTAGCTTAGACAGCAGTCATTTCTGAGAGTGAGGCTCTCCTCTGGATGATTTTAAAGCAGAGTTTTGTGTATTGTGATGTTCAATAACAGTCTTGAATATTTCTGTTAGTTCTCTTGTTTTTCAAATCTATTCAACTCTTTTCATCCGTCTCAAAGTTTGAATTTGAAACTTCTAACTTGGAAATTAAATTTCTACTGATTGAAACACTCCTAGAACTTGTAAATGTTGAGATACTTACATGGCTAATACCCAATCTAGTGCTTCTTCCCAAATTGGGCCACGAGTGGGCCCAATTTTCAACCCAATTGGGCCGGTAAAATCGAATTTCTTTACTAATCTTTCGTTTGACATTTTTCAACCCACAGACAGCCCATGTTAACTATTCTCCTTTGCTTATCAGGCTGTTTATATTTGATGCTTTTCTTGAAATTCATGCAACGCAACTTGGGGTTGGTGATTTTTGATTCCTAGTTTGTAACTTTTAGTCGGTATCGTGGAGTAGTATATTAACTAGGAGCCTGGGTACGATTTTTTTTATTAATATAATTTTCTTTAAATAATATGAATATATGGATCTTTAGCAATTAAGTTACTACCTCTTGTGCTAATTTGATATTATAAATTAATCCTTAAGGTCCTTAACCATATCCACGTTAAACTCATTTACATGATATGTTTCGTTAACAATAATAAAAATAACCCAATCATTTAATTAAAAAACCAATCCTGCATGCATATTTTTTTGGTGGTAGAGGTCGTTTTGGTGGATAGATTAATAATATCATCAAAGAAGGATCATTTGATCAAGGGAAGAAAGAAAATTAGGATGTTCTAATATTTAAAATGTCAAAATGTTCAATAGTAACTGCATGATGAATTTAATAAAGTTAGGGCATGCATTATGTCTCATATATTTAATAGTTGCAATCAGATATCTTGATATTTTTAATATTAGTACGTCATGATATTCTCAATTTTCTTTTATTAAATTATACATGAATTTTTTAGTGGTAGGGGAGAATTAAAACAATGAGGGCACAGATCACACAATTGGAAATCAACTTGTTTGATTCAGGACCACATTTATGAGACTTTAAACACACATGAGAAGATATCATCTTAAACTCAACCTAATAAATTTATGAGCCTCCTCCACATATATATTCCACTCTTTCAATTTGTTTTCCTTCAATATGAGATCTTTATACATACATCTAAACTCCACCATACATTTGAACTCTCTACCCAACACTGACAATATGAGTTGGAAATTCTCTCGAATTGTGCTGAGCATATAGGGACCATTTATGCATGAGGGGCGAAATAGCAGTTCGAAAATGAATGAATGAGGTGGCGATTTTTATTCAATCAATACAACTCAACTGAGAAAGAAATTAAGGGGAGGGAAAGCGAAAGGATAATTAATGATAGGATGCTATCTTATCAGGAAAAAAATGATATGGGCATGTTGATGAATATCCTTGCATCATATATAATTAATGACTGTGATTTGTGAAGGACGCCATAAACAAGAAAGGGAAGTGATATTGAGATGGTGAATTGCAATGTGATGATATTTCATTGGGAATTCATTGCAAAATTATTATGATTGACAACCCTATTCAGATTTTTTATCAAAGAAAATGGAGAGAATTTTGGGAGAAGAAGATGAAGAGCAGAACACATAAAATGGAGAGGAGTATATCACTTCAACTCAATTTTCTCATTATCCAACTCTCCTATATATAGAAGAATACAATATTTAAAACAATTCAAAATTCAAACAACTATTCTACATTAAAAAACAATAAAATTACATTTGAAATTTGCATATTTAACAACTACTTTTGCTGCAGCTTGCGTCCTTTGGCAACTCTGCAGCCTCTTTGCAGCCTTTCAATTCATTTGCATTTGCATTCCTTTTGTATTTGCATTTCCATTTCATTCGCATTTCATTTACTGCTCATTTGCAGCTTCATTTCATCAACATTTGCAACTTAACTTGCTGCACATTTTGCTATCATTTGACAGCTTCATTTTTATCAGATTTGCAGCTAAATGGCTGCCATATTTACTGTCAAATTGCAGCTTCATTTGCTATCAAATTCTAGCCTCATTGCTGCCATTTCATCATTTCTGCAGATTTGAATGCCATGTTTCTAGTAATAATTCCAACAAATCCTTTCGGGGTTTTGTCTTCTTTCCTTTTGTTAATTTGATACCACCTCCACATATATGCAACCCATAATTGAGTCCATTGGTAAAATGCAAATTTGCAGTGATTTATAAGCATTTTAGTAATAATATTGTTTCTTTAGAAATATGAAATAAGTTTGAGTCAAATAAAAAATAGGGGTCGATGGAGTGAGGTCAAGACATCAAGGAATTGAGGGTGAGGTTATTGCTATATTATCAATAATTAATATTATGATTTTTTAATTTAACTGATTATTATATTTTTGAATTACACTTTTATTCAAAACTTAGTATTTTTTAAATAAATTTCTTAAACGAATTAAGGGACATAATATCAATTAATTAAGTTAAAAATAAATGATATTAATAATTAAAAATATGATAATAATATCATTCCAAATTGAAGGGGAGAATACTCCCGAATTTAGACCAAATTGTTAATTTTATGGCAAAAACCCATCTTAAGCCTCTAAACTTATCTAAAAATAGCATTTAAGTCTCTAAACTAAAAATGAAGTAGATAAACCCTACAGCTTCACTAACAATGCAAATAAACCCTTCTCATTCTTACGTATTCATGCTTTCAAGGTAATATTAAACATGAAATACTGTTTAACTTGTTTGTGAAAAGGGCTTACTTGCATCATTAGTGGAATTAAAGGGTTTATCTGCTTCATTTTTTAATTTAGGGGCTTAAATATTATTTTGGGGTTAGAGAATTTATCTACTTCATTTTTTTAGTTTAGACCTTAAATACTATTTTGGGGTAAGTTTGGGGACTTAAGATAGGTTTTTGCCTAATTTTATTATTGAGATGCATTGTGAATATTATGAATAGATAATTCAATTGATGAAAAATATACAGTATTACTAATATAGGAGGTAACTTGACATTGTGATACCATTATTACAAGAAAGAAATTACTAATGTCTCATCCTTGTATTAGGTGCAATCTTTTTCGGGTACAAAATTGTACCCTCGTGTTGGGCCTAACAGCAATTTGCATTCATTAATTGTTGTGGGAGTAGTTGCGGAGGCATCAGACGTTGGAAAATTACGGCATTTGCGGTTTCATAATCAACGTTCTTCACTGATAGATCCACCGAGATCGAGAAAGTGACATTAATGTAACACGATTATAAATACATTTTAAATTTTAAATAATAAATTTAATGAAAGAGTTGCTAATTATAAAAACAGAATTTCTAACGTGGGTTCTTAAAACACAAGTTATTTGTGACTTCATCATCAACTATCTTCATTAATAGATCCACCAGATCAAGAAAGTGACATTAATGTAACAAAATTATAAATACATTGCAAATTTCAAGCAATAAATTTAAAGTTAAACTTTTAATTTGATCCTGAATTATTATACGGATATCTAATTTGATCTCTAAATAAAAAAAATCTTTAATTGGGTTCCTAAACTATTTTACTGACATCTGATTTTGTTTTTACTGTTTACTAATTTAGCCTCAAATTGATTATTTTGTACAAAAAAAACTGACGTATTTGTTACTTAATGGCAAAAAATAGTTACTTAATAGTTACGGGTCATGTTAATAATGAGATACGTTAATTATTTTTTATTCGGAATGACAAATTGATAAACAGTATGATCAAATTGAGGATCTATATAATAGTTTAGGAATCAAATTGAAGATATAACGAAAATTTAATGAAAGAATGGCTCACTATAAAAAGGATTTTCTAATCTATGCTTTAAAGCCTTATTTATTACGGTATCTATAATTAATTTTATATAAAATTTCATACAAGATTTAATAAAATATAATATAAAATGTAATACTAAAATATAATACAATATTTTACCTCAAAATCCATAAAAAATTAAGAATTTGATATGAAAACTTATGTAAAATTAATTAAAAATACCTTAATTAATAAGTCTTAATCTAGGACATAGGTTAGATAGACCCAATAGTTTGTCTAACTTGTACTTTTAAGTTACAAGTTAAACTTTATTAATTACGGTATTTGTAATTAATTTTATACAAACTTTTATATAAAATTCAATTAAAATAAAATATAAAATGTGAAATTAAAATAAAATATAATATTCATACTTAAAATCAATAAAAAAAAGTATCCCATAAATCTAATATAAAAATTTATACAAAATTAATTATAAATTTCTTAATTAATGAGATATAAGAGCATAGATAAAAAAATCTCCTATAAAAATTGGATTGATTCAAATCTCATTTCCTTAATCATATGTAGTGTATATTTCGCATTCATATTAGACTGACCCAAAATATTATTTCTTTTATATAAATTATCAGTCATTGAATTTGTGAAATTATTAGTTGAGATGATAATATTAATTTTAATAGTATTTTTAACAACTTGCTAAATATATTGCAAGAATCTTGTTTTGTAATTTGTATTGTACTAAATTATAAAATAAATGCTATTGTATGGGTGAAAACTTCCATTATCGGAGAATTGTCATCCATTCAATAATTTTATTTATACAATCTAATATAATTTAAATTATATAATAATTTTTTGATATAAGATTATCATCTAATTAGTCATTTGATCTATAAAATTAACTAGTGATAATTTATGTAAAAAGAGCATACATGCATCTATATGTAGACAAATCTGGTACTGTATTTGTCATTGAGATTCAATGGATCTGTAAAATGTTATAATTTTTTTTTTTAATAAATTACAATTATTTACAAATATTAATTAAGAGATGAAAAAAAAGATTATGCAAAATTTGAATGTAAAATCAATAAGGGGTGAACGATCCATATCACTGCACTAAAGCAAAACATTCGTAAAACGTTTTAATTTCTTTACCCCTAAAATTGGGATGAATACATTGCTGGCTGATTACGAAGAAGCGGCTGCAACTCTGTTGTTTCC